AACCCCAAACCCTAAACTCCTAAACTGGATCAACACCGACCAATCTCGGAGCCTCGAGACTGGCACTCTGCAGAGCAATCGGCACATCCTCTCTCCTGCACTGGATCTGGGTTTAGGGATTAGGGTTTTAGGGTTTAGGGTGTTTTTGGGGTTTATTAAGGGTTTATAGGGTTTAGGCTGATGCATGCGCGAGCAGTTGCCAAAGGTCGAACAGGATGACGCGGGGTTTCCGGCTGTTCTAGAACTGCGATCTTGTAGGTGTCTGCCACTTCCTAAAGAAACGAAGAGGGGGCCAACCCCAAATCCCAGATCCCAAAGCCGCAATCGGAAACCCGGCAACCTCGAACTGTTTGACTCTAAGTCCCTTGGTAAGCAGTGGGGTCCTCTTGGCATACAGCTCCGTGATCTTTTTCATCGCAGCCTGCCCAAGAATGGCAAGTACGGACCGCAACGGGATGCTAGTGCTAATGATTCACACATCGGTTTTACAGGCCTTGGCGTTTCTGATGCGGTAGAGACAGTTCTGCATGCAACTCGGATCCAAACGCATTTGCCTACTAGTTCAGCTTCCCGGGGGTAACTTGAGGTTCACCAGTTGGGATTGCCTTGGGATTCCAGGGCTACCTACGCGACTTCCAAGCTTACACGCCGCCCCCCCATTAAACTGGTAGTTGGAGGCTTTAACCGCCAGAAAGAATGGTGGGCTTTTGGAGTCGATTCTGCCATACTTCCAGAAGGACTCTAACAGAACTATTCAGGTTTAGGGTCTACGGTTTAGGTGGTTCCCAATTCAAATCTAAACGCAACGTTTCACGGAGCATGCTCCCGAGCCGTCGCGAACTGAACCCTGCATTTGACCTTCGGAGTTTACCCTATAATGTCGGCTTTGTGCGACAAAGCGCACCTGAGGTCCGCAATATAGGGGATAGAGCAATTTAAGAAGGAAGGGTGTTCCGTGTAGCGGAATATTCTACTCCTAAACTCCTAAACCCTAAACCCTACTACCCTCGAAAAACCAGACGAAGTCTTCGGGCCACGTGAACGTCAACCTGCTGCAGCCCAAGGGATGTCGGCAGGTAGCTGCCGTAGCAACTCAAATCGGATAATCGGGGCTTACGGCATGTACTATAACCCACTAGACTAAATTATATACTATATACCATGTACTGTATACTATATACTATATACTATATACTATATATACCATGGACCATACTCTCCTTGACGATACTTTTCTGCGTATACTATACGAGACTGTATTGCAATTATATACCATGAGGCCCTCATTGGGGTCAAGGGGTATGCTCCCTGGACTCAACCCGCCGAACCTCTCGCTGCCCGCTCTGCTGCAGCGTCTTCGCGGCCTAATTCCAGGCGGACAGCTTCGGATGTAGGATTCTTCGGGGGGAGGCTTTAGGCTTTATGGAGTCTTCGCTGTGTGCCAGCGAGGCTTGAACAAGTAGTTGCGTATACTTTTGCTATTGGGCTTCGGATGCAGCTCTGACTGGAGCTGCTCCCGAAGTAGGGGCTTTAGGCTTTCGGATCTAGGGTTTATGTGGCGTTGCAAGATTTCATGCTAGCCGGCACGATAGCCAACCGGTTGAAATTCTGAAGGCAAGCAGGAGAAGGATGACGAGTTCGACGACCGTAACAGCGACATAAAGTAACACTGCAAACTAGAGAGAAGCCCATCCTCTGAAACACGGCAAATCTACATCATCAGCCAATCATCCCACAACATACCTGCATCGCCATCGAACGCTGGAAGCCAAAACACCCAGCAAGAAGAACCTCAAACCCTTAACCCGACACCCATAGTCGAAGCCCAGAATCCAATCCCAAGATTGTTGCGGCCTTCGCGATTTTTTGCGCAATCTCTAAAGCGAAAGGAAGCAAGAAGGGCACCTTAAACCCTAAACCCCAACTGCAAACAGTAGAACCTGGAAAGCCCGTGGCCTTCTCGCCCACACCACGGCTCAGGGCGGATGCCTGACGGCGCTCTGCCTCAGGGAGCTAGGGACGCGGCAGAATCGAACCCCGTCGTTTTTGATGGGGCTGGCGTTGGGGTTGGGATTCCGGATGAATGCATGCCAGGTGAGGGACAAGGGCAAGAAAGTGAGGCAGTTTGGTCGGAATCGAGATGTACGGACGGGGTTCAGGGACTCTATCACAGACGTCCTCAGGCAAGCTAGCTGCATAGTGTATTGCATAGAAGGGCCCCTACATGGAGAAATACGTGTCCGGGGGCACCGTGTGACTTTGAAGGGCCTACAAGGGGATTTGTTGTGCGTTTCTTCAGACGCCTGTATTACCAAGTTCTGTAGGGTCACGGCGGCTTAAACGAAGCGTCAAGGGACTAAACACGACTGTCGTGGGTAGTTGTCGTACTGGTCGCCACGCACAACAGCCCGGTCAACAACACAAAGGAACACAAATTGCCAGACGTTACTCAAACCTCGAATTCTATTGGCCTGGAGTCGAGGGCTGCTGGATTGCTACTTGGTCGAGGATCTTCAAACGAGGAGGGCTAGAAAAGTGCCCAGTCCGGGGACGAGTCTTGCTAGGGCGCACAGCAAGGATGATAACAAACTGAAGCGGACCCTTGAAGCGACACCTCTCAGGAACAGTAAACCCCGCAGTAAAGCCTGGCCTAAACCCTGAACCCGACACATCCTACGGCTCCGACGAGCCGACGTGTCTTTAGGGGGGTTAGGGGCTTTTAGCCTCACCAGCTGCGACTCCGAGCAGCCCCAAGCCCCAAACCTGGAACGTCAACCAGGTCACGAATCTGACCTCTCGGGGGGGTCCAAAAAAAAAGAAGTGATGCAGGATCCTCCAAGCCAAGCCCTTGCTTGGGCATTTGGGTTCGGCTCCAGGCTTCAATGCAAAGCCCTTAAGGCAGACCATGGCATGAAAAGAAGGATCAAATGCCCAAGGCCCAAGGCCCAAGGGCACGCACGCGGCACGGACTTCGCATCCTCTTGGCGTTGCCAACTCCGCTGATTGCGGCGCCCTTGATAAAGAATGGTCGAAATGGTAGTCTTGTTGCCTCGACTTCTGCCATGGCCCATGGCCACAAGCCGGGGTCGCAAGGTCGCATGTGAGCTCGACCGAGTAAGCTGTCAAACACGTAAGCTCAAGATGGGTGCTATGAGCTGCTTTCAAAGTAGCCTAATTATGCCAGTTGAGATGCAATGCCTAGTAAGTACTTCTTCGGCCAATCGATCGATTTACCCTGGAAGTAACTCCGGCGACCTGAAACCTTATGAAGCCCGGAAAACCCTTCCAAACACCCCTCCCACAAACAAGACAAACAACCATGTAGCAACCCTCCAGAAATTCTTAAAACCCTTATAGAGACACTATAACAACTCGAACAAAGCCCTAAAGAAGCGCCTTGAATCTTGCAGAAAACTTTTCCAGGGCACCGCGCTGCAGCTAAGGCTGCCTTGCGCGGATCGACAGAAGCACCTCCTCCCAAGGCCTCTTCGCAAGTGATTCTGCTAGGCTGCTAGGTGCTTTAGGGTTACAAGGGTTCAAGGCCTGGATCGAAGAGTCGGGGGTTACGGGCTCGGTGCTTAGGTTCTAGAGTTTAGAATTTCGATGAATTTCGAATTTTAACGGTTCACGGTGTAGCTGATAGGTTCTAAGATATCAGGTTTCAGGGATCGGGCTTCAGAATTTAGGATTTAGGGGCTGGGCTCAGCTTAATGGGTTGGGGAAACCCGAACTCACGTCCTGTTTAAACATGGTAAGCTGGCACACTCCCGACTAATGGGAACTCTTGATTAACAAACCCCGGGTATTAGGGTTTAGGGGGGTTGAGAGTTGAGGGTTGAGTTTTAGGGTTGAGGTTAGGGTTTAAAGGCTTCGTGTTGGACTTTAAGTTGGCCTTTGCCGGCTTGAAAAACTGAGTATTTTACATAGGCCTTTGATTTAACATTTCTTGCTTGGCTACCTCTGGAATGTCTTCACGCCAGCCTTGTTTAATCGCTGGGCGATAGCAGAAACCCTAAAACCTGAAACACCTGAACCCCGAAAACCTTAAACCTCTAGTGCCTGAACCCGAAACCTTGAAACAAGAGCTGGTCGGAAGGAGCACTGAACCCTCCCTAAACCCCTGAACCCTTCAACCCCCCTAAACCCCTTCTATGTCTGCAGGCAAGTTGGTTTGGGCAGAAGGTTGCCATTAATCCGGGTGCGGGGTGGGTTGGCAAGGTTTATTTTTTTCCATGGGGGCTCTGGTGGAAGAGGCCAATGCCTTTAAAACATGGTTTCAGCCCGGCCCGAGGCCCGTGCAGGATGCCTTTAATCGCAGGGGATTTATTAAGAATTGACATTATGGGAACTGCAAGATTTTGCTCATCAGTACTTATAAGGAGCCAGGTTTCCCCCAGTACGCTGTGGTTATGGCTCACCTTCAACATGCACACTATAAAGCCCTCATGCAACCTTATTATTCAGCCGCTTAGATTCCCAACCCTTCGATTTTCCCTAGACCGCTTGAAAGACCTGTAGCGGCCTGACCCGAAACCTTCAACCCTTTACAGGACCCCGCGAGTGGCGGCAAAACTCTTAGCCCTGCCGAGCCTGTCCCTCGCCGACATAAAGACTCTGGGAGCCACCTGGGGCACTCTGTAAGTCTTAAAGGGGCACCTGAAAGATTTGAAAAGGGGTTGGGCACCCTGGTTGAGTTGCAGACTGACTAGCTGCCTCTATCTATAGGCCCTTTTCCGGGCTATGGGCTGCAAGGGCGCCTGCCGTGTATGATGTGTCCAGCACGTTTGGGTTGCTGCGTTTGAGGGTTGGGATTGAAAACGAGGTCCGGGCATAGTTCGGACTTTGAATGTTACCCTACCGTCTGTAGAGGTTTTTGCGGTCATAAACACGTATCAAGAACATACCCCAATGAAAAGCTGAAGGCCTCAGCCCAAAAACCTTAAAAGCCTTAATTGCACTCCACTTGGATCAGTGATCCCTGACCAGCAAGATCGTGAAAGCACGTCCGGAGAAGGACGGCACCAGTGTATGTGGTCGGTAGATTCCAGTACTGGCTGCGGCATGCGCTTGCCAGCCGACCTCACTCGCGCGGTGCTTCCACAGCAGGACCATGAACCCCTGGCTCCTGCCAGCTGACCTCGTTCGTCTGCTGATTCCAATAGTAGAACCGCGAACCGCGGCTGACGACATTGGTGTGTTGGTGCCAGAAGTAGAACCGCGAACCATGTCCGCCGCACCTCTCAGCTGACGGCATTGGTGTGCTGGTTCCAGTAGCAGAACCGCGAACCGTGCCTGCCGAACCTCCCAGCTGACAGCGTGCTGGTTCCAGTAGTAGAACCGTGAGCAGTGCCTGCCGTGCCTCCCGGCTGACGGCATTGGTGCGCTGGTCCCAATAATAGAACGGTGCCCGCTTCGGCAATACAACGCAACTTAGCTTGGTTTAGCTTGGGAAACCGACAAATCCACGAAGGGGCGACCAGGGAGAGAGGGCTCCAGATGCAGTGCCAGATTCCGGTCTTAACGCTTAATTAAATGGTTCTGTAAACTTCAAAGTTTGGTTCTGTGTTTTAGATCCTTCGTTGGCAAATTGGCAGACAGTTCGTCAATCCCATTCCTCGGATTTCGGAAGAGTCCCTCCGATCACTCGTGCCACAATCCCATAACACCTACAACTTACAAAACCCCAACATAATTGACTGAAAAGCAGCCCTACAACACACCCGGGAAAGTTAACCTAAAAACCTTCCAAAACCCAAGATAGTTAACCGAAAAGCCCTACAGCACCCCCTATAAAGTTAACCTAAAAGCCCTACAAAACCCCGTGATGATTAAACTAAAAGCCCTACAACACCCCCGGGTAACGCGGAACCCATACAAACAACCGGGAAAATTAACCTAAACGCCCTACAAAACCACCGGGATAATTAACCCAAAAACCCTACACAACCCCCGGGATAATTAATCTAACCGCCCTGCAAAACCCCCGGGACAAGTAACCTAAACGCCCTACAAAACCCCCGGGATAATGAACCTAAGCCTAAGAGCCCTACAAAACGCAAGGTATAACAGCCCGCAGAATCACATCAAACTCCTTTCCACTTGTCTAAGGCCCTGAATTGTTCTATCATATGCTGGAAGATCTGGCAAGGCTCCGCACGTTGCGTGACCTGGCAAGCAGGGAGCAGAAAGGGAGAACAAGGCCTATGAGGGCCCTTCACAATTAGAGTGGAGTTGCGGGATATATTGTCGTCGGAGTATTTGCCGAATATGAGGAGCTGAATGCTATGGCTTTATTCAGGAATCTAAAACGATAGTAGTACCAATTACTGTATTCAGGCCCTTGTTGCATGCTACTTAGGTTGGGGGCAAACGGACTTCCGGTGGTAGGGTCTTTCGCCGCAGCACGAGTTTGTGATCACATCACTTTCTACTTGCTGTCCGTCTGGTCCAAAGCCCCCCAAGCTGCACAAGGGCAAACGGCGAAACCCAACTACTGTCCTAAACAAAGCGTGTTCTGCAACCGAAACCATGGAAACCTCGCATAGGGTACTGTACAACATAGCATATAGACTAGTTTGGGACGTATAGGGAATAGTGTTACCAATATGCAGAAAGTTTTACTTGACTCTGCCTGAACCACGGGTCACGGCGGTTCTATACACCACGGAACCTGACCCCCACAAACCCTAAATGCCTAAACCCTACGTTCCTACTGCAAACGCGTGAACGCTTAAACGCTCAAAAGCCAAATTTATGCTCTTCATCCGACACAAAGACGCCCTAATGCGCAGCTTCGAATCGGGTACTTACAGTATACTGAAGTATTGCCAAAGTCCACCCCGACCCCTCTCCAAACCCACCCCCTCACAGCTTCAAATCCCAAATCGTAACCCCAGAAAGAAGCAGTATATGCTAATGAGATCCCTTGCACACCGTTCGGAATCTTCCCTTTGTGTAAACAATTCTACAGTAACAGGATCGCGAGTGTGATGTAGGGCATCTGTATGGAAGTACTTATTTGGCAATAGGATCCCAAATGGGATGCGAGTAGAATTCTTCATTCAGGGTATAATTTTATCGCAAAACATGGGCCCAAACCATGGTGCAAAATTTCTGCACGAAGTACCCTGAAACTACACCCTACACTACACCTTAAACAAGCTGTAAACCCCTCCAGCCTCAAGCAGGTACGTCCCTTCAGCCGTAAGAGCACTGAGCCATCCCAGTCTTCCCTTGCAAGGGCTTTTGTTTTTGTTTTGCGGTTTTTTCCATGTAATGTCTGGGGTTTCAAGGCCCAGGGTTCAGGGTCCAGGATATATTTCTGTTGGTCCTGATGTCTTCTTGTTTGCGATTATCAATGCAACTTGCAAGTATCAGTCATTCTGCTTCAGAAGTGTTAGAAGGTGCCGGGGTTGTCTTTGCATACATAAGATGTCCATACCGATTCTTGCGGCATGTGCGGTGTTGCGGAGGGCTGTATGCAATTCTACAAAGCTCTGAACGAGGTTCTCGGTCTATTCCCACACCACCCCCAACCCTCCTAACCCCTACAGCTTCAACCCCTCAACCCTTGGTTACTAACCCTGAAACCCCAAACCCTAAATACTAAACCCTCAACCCTAAATCCTAACCCTAAACCCCCAAACCCTAACTAAACCACGAACCCTAGATCCTAACCCTAAACCCCCCAAGCCCTAAATACAAAACCCTCAACCCTGGATCCTAAGACTAAACCCCCCTCCAAAACCTCAAATGGGGTTTAGGGCATGGGGTTGGGGGTGTTTAGGGTTTAGGGCATGGGTTTGAGGGTTTTCAGTGTTCGGGGCTTTGAGAGTTTCGGGTTTTGGGATTTAGGGCATGGAGTTCAGGGTGTTTGGGGTTTGGGGCATGGGGTTGAGGGTTTTCAGGTTCGGGGCTTTGAGAATTTCGGGTTTTTCGGGTTTAGGGCATGGGGTTGAAGGTGTTTAAGGTTTAGGGCACGGGCTACCTGGCCTGCACATGCCTCCAAGTTTTTGCTTTAAATATTCCCGCAAGAAGGGTGGCGAACAAGGCTTTGCCAAGGGGCCACTATGCTGGCAGATCCCTCGCAAGATCTCGCAAGCCTCCGGCAGAAAGGCTGACATCAGGTGGTGCGGGTCTACCAAGCCAGGCATGGGGCCCCGTGGCAGATGATGGGATGATGGGAGCGGAATCCAGCCTGCGATGGCCCAGCCACATCTCGCTGGCAATGCATTCAACGTATGGATTCCAGCAGCATTGAGGCCATTGAGGTTGAGATGTGCGAAGAGTCACTGGCCAGGGCCCTGGTAGCGCTCGACGAGCTGGCCGTGACGGCCTGGCATTATTAGAATCTCTCAGCCACAGACTATACGGTCATAAATGTTTAATATCGCAAAATTATTGTAAAACGGTTGCGGGATAGGGTTGCAAGATTTTGGCAGGTTGCAAAATGATTGCATTTTTGCAAAGTTTTTGCATTTTTGCCTTTTTGCATTGCTTCTATATATACTATTTTTTGCCATATGTTTGTATCATTCATATATTTTTGACTTATTTGTTTAGTGTTATTTGGGTCAAATTTTGATTCCGTGACGATGTTACAGCGATGTTTGTTCTGGCTTTTGAGGTATGCATGTGCTCGTTTGTGCAGGTGTTGGGTGCGTTCGAAAAAGTAACTACTAATGTGTTCCACAAATTGTAGACACGTTTGGTACATCTTTGATTTCAACCTCCAGTGCAGCAGAATATGACATCACAAGGACACGGTACACATGCACGAACACTCATTCAATCGCTTTGAATGTCCGGCGTTGCACCTTGAGCGGAGGGGAGGGGAGGGGAGGGGAGGGGAGGGAGGAGGGGAGGGGAGGCAATGGAGGGGGAGGGGGGCCTGGAGGGGGGCTGGGAAGGGGGCGCTTGCAACCTGAGCTGGGCGGCCCCCCGCCAAGGACCAATTATTTGTGCAAAAAATTTGCGAAAAACGCTGGTGCCGGAACTTGGTGGATTTTTGGAAAATGTGCAAATTCCTCGAAGCATCGCTGAATTTGCAAAGCAGTCGCGAGATCCCCCTCCCCCTCCCCTTCCTGCCTCCCCTTCTCCCGCCCTCCCCTCCTCTCCCTTCCCCCTGGCCCTGCCCTCCCCCCCTCCCCCCGTCATGAATGCAGCAAATGAAACATCAGTTGGGGGAGTGCCAGGGAAGCCTGCAATCCCTCCGCGATCTCCAAACATAAGTTGTGGACGCTAGACCTGCAGGATAAGCAGTCAAACTGTTCGCAAACTGGCTTTCCAACCATGGACACAAGTCGCATCGTTGTACAAGCACTGCAACACCTCTTCAAAACACCAACCGAAACCTCGGTAAAATTGGAGCAACCACACGCACACGGTTTTGTATTGTTTCGCTACTTAGCTCGCAGAATTTCATCGATATGCTGTTTCGGTTCTTTGTGAAAGCAATTTGTATTTGCCGGAAATTTGTAATAATTTTGCAATAATCTTGCGAAAAAAATTGCAAAAATGCAATAATTAATTCAAAAATTGCGATCCCGAAATCGCTTTGCAAAAAATTGGAATAATTTTGCAAAAAAAATGCAAAATGATTCTTTCCGGGATTTATAGTCTGTGGCTGGCAAAGATTGTTATAAGCCTGGCACAAAGCTCATTAAAAGAAAGTTTGATTGGAGAAGACAGCTCTCAGGCTCACACTGGCTTGTCCCACGTTACTTCATTGGTCTCGACGTTCCAGTAGTAGACGTCGTTGTGGGAAGGCTTCGCAAGGAGAACTCGATCGTGCAAGTGGCCGATGGCAGAAATGCCAGCAATGCCTCGTAAGGAACTCTGACTCGAACCTGCCCAGGAGCTCAGACTAACTGATATGTGCAGCGCCGCCACGCGGCTGAGTTTTTTAAATTGAGGCAGACTCCCAACCCGGTGGCAGCACATCTGGCCAGATCCAGTTGGCCTGAGGGCTCTCAGATGCTCTCAGATTACATTCAATTGCAAAAGCCGGGCTCATTGCCACGAGTCCGCGCACCAACGTCACCTCGCATGCGAGGGACGGGCTCCCTGTTTGGAACAATAACAACGTTCGAGGGCGGCCATGGCTTCTGAGGTGACCAGCAAGGACTGCATGCTGGCCTCGACCACACCATTGTACAGATGGCATCAAGACTAGGCGACATCGGGGAAGATTCCCCAGCTTGTAGGGGGATTGCAAGAGCGTTGACTCAAGCGGCCGTTGCACAGGCATGGAAAGCGACGAGCGACTTGCCTCCCACGAATCACTCCGCAAGCCATGACAAGAAGGCACAGCCTGCGCATCTTTGAAGGTGGCAAGACCAGTAAAGACCAGCGTTGTTTGCTTGAAGGGCTTTCATGCTCGCTAAATGTTGCAAGCCGCTGCAATTCTCGCAAACAAAAGAAAAGTAAGAGACATGAACGACTCGCTCACATCGATTTGCTCAACTTGGCGCCGCGTCCATGCTAGGCTGGCGTCGGCTTCTCAGCTTACCCCAAGTTTACCTCTCTCGTCCCTTTTTTGTTTTCTTCCGGAACTTGGGAAAAAGAAAGTATTCACACACCAAAGCTGGCTTCAAATGATTTGCTGCTTCGAAGCAAGCTGCTGATGCAAAGACTCTGGTTCGTCACGAACCTACCAAGGGTTTAGGGCATGGGGCTGAGGGTTTGTAGGGTTTAGGGCATGGAATCGAACCCCCGAAACATAGCTCTGTACCCATCTAAAACCCTTCAACCGAACCCCAAAGCCCGAAACCTACAGACACCGAGCCCAAAGACTCTATGAAGAGCTCAATGGGGTTTGGGGTTTAGGGTTTGGTGGCAGGCATCCCTGCTCCATATGAACTCTGAGGAGGTTTAGGGCCTTCAAAGAATGCCTCAAGAACTCCAGTCCTTCACCAAACCAGGAAGCGAAGCTGCCAATGTCCCGACCTCTATCAAACACTAAACCCCGAACACCCGACAAAAAAGTCCTGAAGCCTCCTTTGGCGAATCCCGTTTCCTAAACCCTACACGACATACTCCTTGACCCTAAGCCTAAACCCTAAACCCTAAACCCAAAGCCCTAAACCCTAAACCCAAAGCCCTAAGCCCTAAACCGTGGCCCTAAGCCCTAAACCGTGGCCCTAAGCCCTAAACCCTACCGGCATCCTGCGTCCTGGAGAACTTGAACTTAAGACTGCAAGCTCTGAATCCGAAGCCCTGAATGAACGTCGAGACCCTCCGTCCTGCATCCGAAAGCCGGACACCCATGAGCTCTTCTTGCAAGCCCTTGGGAGGCTATAATTTTTTCCGTACCAGATCGCCTAGTGTAGAGTCTCCAAACAACCTATGATTCAACAAACCTGTTGATCCTAAACCCTAGACCAGAAACCCTAAATCTTAAACCCTAAACCCTAAACCCTAAATCCTAAATCCTAAACCCTAAATCCTAATGTTGACGATTTTCTAAAGCGATTGCATCCAAGACCCAGGGCATCCAAGACCCAGGGATCTTGCCTGCTTGTCCCGTGCCTTGAAGCGTCGGCCTGCCAGAGGGGGCCGCAATGAGGAGAGTAGGGTGCCTTCAACTATCTACCTATCCATAGATGTGTGTGTATATATATATACACATGTATGTATATATATATGTATATATGTATGTATATATATATGTGTGTATATATATATGTATATGTCTGGTGTTCATATGTACATCTATATATATATGCAGATATAGATATAGATATGTAGATATGTGTGTGTATATATATA